TTGACCCATTGTCATCAGCCAGTTTACTGGTTGACCAGTTGCCATCAGCCAGTTTACCGGTTGACCAATTATCATCAGCCAGTTTACCGGTTGACCCATTGCCATCAGCCAGTTTCTGGTTGACCAGTTGCCATCAGCCAGTTTACTGGTTGACCAATTATCAGCCAGTTTACTTAATGAACAGTCGTCATTAGCCAGTTTATTGGTTGACCAGTTGCCATCAGCCAGTTTACCGGTTGACCCATTGTCATCATCCAGTTTACTGGTTGACCAGTGGTTGGCCAGTGTATTGCATTTACCATTTTAATACTAATTTAACAACGCGGCTATAGACAAAATTAAAGAAGACACAAAGGAACACTTTCTCCAAAAAAAGGTTCTCCATGATTTTAGATGGAAATCGACTTGCTCTCACGCAGCCCTAAAAATGAAAAGATAAAAGCTTCTCGAAGTTCGAGCAGTTTTAGAAATTGTAATATGATTTATATGAATGGATTAATGTGAAGACAGTGGATCCCTAGGGTCTAGAGCTGATTAAGTCCCCGGTTCAACTCACCATGAACCCCTGTCAAATTCGTTTGAAAGAGGTGATACAGTTGGAAGGGAAAGTTGACACAGCTTTCTCATCATAAAGAACGTATCTGTCCGCGTCGTAAATCAGTATGTTGTTCGCGGTTAGAGATTCTTTACATCTGGCGTTGGAGCGATAAGAGGAACGACCGGAGGTTTTACTTGGAGGGGGGGGTTCAAGTCGAATGCTTTCGTGTCCTAAATTGCCGTGCTGAATTAACTCCCATGATACCTCAGGTTTGAGGCTGTTTTCCCAAAATATGCATACACAGAAATCTTTGATGCGTGCAATGAATAGGGAGGAAAAAAACACCTCTGATCGTTCTCGATATTCACGGCAGTTTGTTTGCACAACTTTTTATGCGATTAAGATTAAGATTGATCGCTTCGATTAATTCCAAATTCTTAAAGGTCATCAACATTTTCTCTAGTGCCGGTTTGTTCCCATAACTCTAATGGATGCCAGGATGGCAAAACATATGCCGCAAGTACCTCATCTCTTGGAATTTTGAGAAAAACCCACATCTACCATATATCTTTCATCCAGCACCATTGATCATCCTTTGATTCATCTAAACGGTCGTCAATCTTACTGCTTTCACATCCGTTGTTTCTTGAACCGACAGTTACCGAGCTGAGTGCACGCTCGATGCATCGCCGGAGAGGATTCTGAAGTACATTCTGCCAACTCCAAAGGGACTAAGAGGCAAATGGGACAAGAACGTCAAGGAGTCCGAAGTCATCGAGCACATCAATAAGGTAGGGCGCCCTCACCGGCTTGACCATTGAATTGCAGGAATTCAGAGTTATTCGCATACTATAGGGCTACTTGTATTCAGCACAAAGGTGAGGGTCAAGACATCAACGAACGGGAAGTGTGTTGCATTTTGATCAAACAAAAGAGAGCTGAAGAAAGCGCAGCTAGTAAGTATAATTTTTGTATTATTTTCCAGTGTGACATTTCCTTTCTTTCAAAATTGTAACGTGCATGATTACTTGTTTTAATGTGCAAAGATAGTTACATTTTTCAAACAGTCTGAGTGTTATTCCATCAACAAGCCGACTCGCCAGTCTTTTTGTGCTGCCACGTACCAAAGTTAAGCTGTCGAACATTTCTCATGACACCCCTTGAGGGAAAAACCACACAAAGGGTCTAAAAAGGTGTACTCCGGAAGGAGGGCATCGCAAAGTAGAAAGAGCCTCATCTTTTGTAGAAATCCGTTGCAGCGTTTTGAAAATTAATACGAATAAAAACGCGGATTAATAACCGCATAAAGAAGTTCAGGTGACCCCTTTTGGATCTTGGGTATAAGTGGATGACTCATTTTTCTTGCTTCTAGGAGTGTAATCCAGTTACGCTAGCCAAAAGCCTTCAATTAGCATGTTAGATTAATTTGTGCTTGTCGCGTATGCTTTTGAATCTGTACTTATTGAAATGCACGCACTCACACCGTCCGACCTTGGGGTATATCCATGCATGTAACGGAATAATGGATACTTAGCTATCGGTGCGCAATACACCATAAGTAAAATAATTTAACAGAGTAAGAAACGTGTCACTTTAAAGGAACAGGATCCTTTGGACGGTTCATACCTGGTCTTAAAGATAATCTCCTTCAGAAAATCGGCAAATGTCTGTTTTCCGCTAGGTAACATCATTAAGTTTGACATTTTTCAATACTGAATGAAGGAAACTTGGTAAATAAGCGCATGCCTCGTTACAGACAACTTAGTAAAAGTGTCAGAATAAGAATAATTTTGAAACATTTATTTTTACGATTTTTTTGTCAGCCTGCATGATACGTGTGTTTTACATTTATTGATTTCAGTTGAAAAAGACCTGATGATAAGACATAAAGTTTGTGATTTAAACGTCATTCAGTTTAGATTGATAATTAATTGGCTCCTTTATAGTAACTCGGATTAAACAGAACGGGATTGTGAACGCCAGAAGTCCGACGTTGGATCTTCGTACATTTTTCTACAAGACAAAAGAGAAGATTCTTAGATCGAAAAGCCGAGTGTTTCTTGTTAAGTGGGAATTCGACACCCAAAACTGAAGATTCCTCGTAGATTTTTCCTCTGTGTTGTATGCTCTTTTCATGTGGTTTGCACAAAGTGCACCCTACTCGTGATTCATTATCAGTGAATATGCAAAATTTATGCAAATTAGTTAGATTTTTTTGATATTTTGATTGGTAGGATCTAATCGTTGCAAGGTCAGCCACGCACAGCGCTGCCATGGGCCTAATATCTTCACGAGATTTCCTGGATTTGATCTACGTCAAGCGGTACCCGACTAATAACATGGTGTGCACCCACTCCAAAAGCATCAAACGTAAGGATTGCCCTCCCCGGGATGGCTTCGTGCGGGGTACCAACTATCATGGCGGTACATTCTGTGTACCAGTAGACGGGTAAGTCATAAAGACGCTGATAATGTAGCATTTAAGTTCTTGAGCTATATACATGTACTAGAAGAAATGGAAAAGGCGCTCATGAAAGCCAAAGGAATACCATCATTGCGTGCTATCCGGTATCGAATGCACGCATGACAGAGTAAGGGAACCAGTGTGTTATTGGATTGTGTGTACAAACCTGTAGCGTAATGAGGAGCGTATGATCATTAGTGAGAACCATAAGAAATTGTAGGCATGCATCCTGGGAAAAGTTGCCCGTTAGAATAATAATCCCCATTTTAAGTTACTTTTATTTTTCCCCTGACACACTACAAGCGGTGTGCATTTCAAATCAAAATGTATGTATATACATGTTCAGGATATACAGTAACCGCAAAATATTGATACAACCATTCGGTATTTCCTAATCGAATACGTATCTCATATACCAGCACCATTTGGAATGATCCCTGGTGTTTCCTTTTGGAGGGGTAGTTCTATATTGAGTTTACAGGTTGTTCAAGTTTGAACACCAGTTTACGAGGGATTCTACTATTAGGTAGTTAGGCTGCCCACTCGAAGGAAGCGTCACTTGAAAATATCAGTCGAAGAAGAAGAAACAGATTACATTAGGCCTACGTTTGTTAGCCTTAAGGCGTTATTTAGAAATTTCAGAAAGATAAAATAAATGTGATACTTATACTGGGAAAAAACAGGGAAACTCGAGATAAATACAAGAAGTGGCATTGTCAATGTGACAGTCTTTGCGCAGCTTTAAAAGCTGCGTTTTTTCCCCTGATCACGTGACGGGAACAACATGCCTTGAGCCACATAGACATGCACACCAGATGATGAACACAAGTCGTTAATAGTGACACATTATAGCTTGAGGCAATGCAGACATATAGCGGTGGATGTCACGCAAGCTTGGCACTTCATCCGTGGAGAATGAGACGAGATGAGTTTCGAATGGAAAGGAGACACATTATTAAAGGGGAAAAGTGGCTAGGCAGAAATTGAAACATTAGTATTACATTTGCTCTTGCTCCAAAGGTGGGTGTGGCACCCTGGCAAAATAGAAGGGCCTTAGTAGCCATTTTCGCCTATCCAATAGTTTCAACATCAACAACATGGCGGGGAGTTATCAGAAGGCAGGAAACATTGTAGGCGGCAAAAGAGCTTCTCATTTAGACTTGAACTCAGAGAATAATAAATGATGTAGAGAATGGTTTTGGCAAACGTCATAATGAATCTTTTTTCAGGTGTGTGCTGTGAGGATAATTGCATGCTACATGCACTTGATGAACGAGCCATGTTATTTACGTGTTTTGAAGTTACATTCAGAGCGCCAACGTTGTACTCTGTGCACGCCAAATTTAAAAAACAACTCATGTTTACCATCACCGAAGCTGAATGGTGTGAGAGTTAACCGTGTCGGGGCGACATCAGTCACTGGCTGATGTCTGTTGGTGTTTACACGGAGGCCAACACAAGCAATATTACTTGAAATTTATCGCGGCTGTGTGTTGGATGTGGTATGACAGCTATATTAGACGCTGCGGGTTAAGAAGTTAACATTTAACCCATTGTAATAACGCGAGGGGTCGGGTATCCGGCTGCGGTAGGGAAAAAGATGGAAATCGCCTGCAGCGTGCCGGTGCAACTCTCGGTCGAAATGAAAAATACCTCAACTGTCTGTGATCACAAATGTGTGTCAAAATAGGAGTCTTTCTAAGAATAACAGGAAAAGAGTGACGAATAGAAGGGGCACTACCAGGATAAGTTCTATGTGAGCCCCAAATACTAATATACAATAGATCTTGGTAGCCAGACATAATGAAATGGTACTTACATGTATGTTTGGTGCGCGTGGTTCACAGTATTACTATCCTCTGTATTGGTTCCAAAGATATCGCCTTGAAGGTCAGTTCGTACTTCAGACGAAAGCGAAGCGTATTTGACATCAAGAAATATTTGCAGTGATGTTCGCTTGAGTTGAAATGACTGGGTTAAGCTGTTACGAATCCGCAACACGATAGTTGATCCGACGTAACAGTTTGTTTGTGTTGGCTTTCGCGCAAAGTACGAAATCCTTGATCACTTTTGCCTAATGCTTCTCCATATGTATGGAAGAATTGTTAAGATGTCGGGAACTTGATGGGGACCATAAATGCTGCGGTTATGAGGCAGTGTTGAGCTACCGTTTGCCAAATATTTTGCCTCGTGTAGTGTTGATGTTCCACTTATGCTGGATTGGTATGGTTATGATTCTTCGCAGGTGTAATACCTATTTCTTTGTAGCACCCAATCTCAAAAGGTATGGCATCCAGCCGCAATAACGTGGATATTCATCGTCAGTGATCATGATACTATCTCTGATTAATGTATGGTACCCAATCTCAATTGATACCATAAGTAGTACTCAAGAGTGACACCCTGACAAGCCCTAACCAGTAACTGTATACTCGCCAGAAGCGATAGCCATCTAAAGTATTATTGGTATAACTTGCTTTGGATCCGGAATATGTCTTCAGAAAATATATTTGGCTGTTTGAATACCTCCGGCCTGTAGGCAAGACAAGATTGTAACTGCGTGCCTGATTTCACATACTGTTAGAGAACAGACTGTTTTCGTAAGTCTGTCATCGCCGACATTTTTCCCATCTTCGTCCACTGTTTTTGTTTCCTGCGAACCGCCAGCCGTCCAGTCGCACTCGTAGCCCCTAGACAAATATTATCACAATTCGGTGAGCGGTAAATTAGATCACCTCGCCCAGGGGGGTGATATCAATGAAGATTTAGCCGTCGGTGGAGCGCAGATGGTCGGAGTCGACCGTCTCGCGAATCATTCATTGATGGTTGAGCGTCAATGAATATCCACGCTACTAATTGGCGCGTACCCGCTGCCCACTGACCTTGTCATTAGTAGGGTCGTGCCAATGGTTTTAAGTACCGGTATATTACACCGTTGATCATCTTCTATTCCCTCAGTAATTTGCGCTTGATCTTCTAAGACAGGCCTCAGGCCTGCTTCATAACGAAGGCTGGCTTATCGCGCGTTATATAGAAAAACTGTGGAAATAAAATCTTCAACGTAATGCGATTCTTTTTTTTTCTTTTAAAATTTTCCTTATCACCAAAGCCAGCGTGTGGAGGTGAGGAATCAGTTCTATTTTTGAACTCATTTTTCCTGTTTGTTTAGGCTGATTGGAATGGAAAAAACTAGTTTTAAATTACGGGTACGTTCATTACTGCATACTAGGTATCTCTAAAAGTCTAGCCCGCGAAAAGTGTTCCTCGTGTGTTAATGAAAGATGGCCAAGCCTTGAAGGAACAATGCACATGTTTGTAACACTCATGATCCATCAAATTGTCCAGATAGGTTGTGGCAGCTACGAGCCCCTTTGGTTTATCAAGGGATCTGCCGTTAACAGTTTTCAGTTTCTTTAGCGATTGGCAGCGCAATATCAAATTGTCTGCCGTGAGTGTTGGGTAACGCCTGACGCTATCGGTAAAACGCAAACTACCGGGAAATAAATGTTAGATTGAGCATGGACGGGGATGTGCGGATACCCACGAGGGACTAAAAAACCTTCCATTGTTTAGAACTGTGTCTCCAAACTTGGTGACTAGACTCTGAATTCACTAATTGATTAGATGTCGGGATGAGTTGGCATCCGACTGTGTGGAGCCTATCGCTGTAGATCATTCCACCCCCCCCCTGGGTCGGGGAAGCACACTTGAAACATTCGGATGTACCCGTAATAGCCGGTTGTACACCGCTGATCAATACCATCGCATGTCATTTGGATTATTATTGAGCAGTAAATCAAATTATGGTGACACAGTCAGGGAGACAAAATTGGGCACGTGTCATGTAAGCTGCGATTCAGTGACTATTGGGCGAAACTAAAGTCGCAGCTTTGGCGAAAAGATTTTGCACTGGAAATTGGCTGGAAACGTTTGACATGATTGTCTCGGCGGTGAAGTATAATATATTTTAAGTTAAATTTTATTGCCTGGGTTACACTTCAGATATCGGTAACAGGTAAGACAACTCTTCATTGATTTTCAGTCATTACGTTCCTGACGGCTTTGTTCTGGCTGACAGGTTTGTTGGGTTGTTTCTTTCTTTCTTTCAGAGAGAGCAACAGGACTCGGGTAGTGAACATGGTGCAGTCAGACCTGGGAGGAATGTTGCCTCAGACGCTGGTCGACTCTGCACTGCCTAGCAATCTCGTCGACTTCTTCGTGGATCTAGACAACGCCCTCAAGTCCAATATAGAATAGAAAGCCGGCATGCTGGAAGAGGAGGAACTTCGAGGGGTTTACTTGAAAAAGGAGAACAGTCTTTCGCTGGTTACCCTGTTTAATGTTATTGCGCGAATTAAATACGCGAGGCTGGCGACCAGCCAATTTTTCGCCCTTGAATCATTTCCTATATAGGCATAAATTACCCCGGTCCATAAGATATTGTTCTGTGTTCTAATGAACACTTAAAGTGCACTCTTTGTGAGACTGAATACTTAAAAAAAAATGTGAAGAAAAACAAGTTTTCTTGTGAAAGACTTTGTGTTTCCAGTTTTAATATTAAGCCGGAAATTCAATCGTACTCTCTGAAATCATTTTCGGATTAGCTAAAGAACCTTCTAATCTTACAAAATGACAAACTGCGTATACGGGAAGTTGGGGCTTTATGAAAGCAAAATTTTAAATCCATGTTGGTAAGACGTTTTTGCGTGCGATAATTAGTTAACGCTTTTATGATGTGTGTCACACATTGGTAAAGTGTAAAGAAAAAAAACATTTCGTATTAAGTGTTGTGATGGCAACTTTTATGACATAAAATGTCACCATATTCCTTTGAATGAAAGTGGAAAAATTACAACTTATTAAAATAACACTATTTAAGCTTGCTATACGCACGTTTGTAATTGATGCATGTAAAGCAATGTTCTTTAACACACTTGAAAATAAACATTATGTGAATAACATTTTCAATGGTATGGTAAAGGAAAAACGAGCGAAGTATCCGAACTTCGACGTAATTTGAATTTGATCGTTGAAGTTCAGTGGGAGAAGGAGGTTATATCGACATGCTGTTGTGCGTTTTTCATCAAGGAGTTGAATCAAGATCTACTCAGATTAGCTGGCTGTATGGTCTTGTTAGCATTGCAAGCAATTAGTGACGTGGAGGAGCGGACGGGTGTATGTCGTCAGGTTACCCATTGACTAATTACTCCGAGCCGGCATGGGCTTTGGAAACGATGAGATATCAGTTCTATCAGTAACTTCTAATGAAAGATTTGTGATTAAATCCTGACCAAATCTGAGCAACAGATCAAACACGTTCACTTAGGGATTTTTTGGTCTCGGGAGATGCTGAGTTTGAGATGGCTTGCACCAATTAAAGCTACAGATGAGAGATGTAATAATGTGTTAGGTTGGAGGCTAGCTGTTCGCTTTGGACATGACCGAACAATGACATTAGCAAACTCCATCATTTGATGGAAGTTACCAACTGATGAAGTTTCACGAGGGAAAAAATGTGAAATATGTTTGATGGTAGTGTTGTCCTTGCCTGGCCTACCGCCATGGGTGTTGATATGCTCAGGTTCGCGTGCTTCAAGCTCCACGTGATGCGCCGGCCGACTCGGCAGGAGTAAAATTGATCGTCAGCGGCTGTGGCACTGGGCGATTCGAACAACCGACTCGATTAAACGAGAGTCGTTCTAGCAATCGGATATGACGCGTGCCACTAGCCACGCAGGACACACTGCATGCTGCCCGTTGGGGGATTAATATTGTCGATGGGGGTTTGATTTTCGAGCCGCTCTTCTTCGCTTGTACTTAGACCGTTCGGAATCATATCAGTGACGCCCGCTAGCGACGCCTGACGAGGCATCGTGGCGGCTAGGAGCTTGATCTTGAACACGGCTGGCTGGTGTCGAGGACTTCCAAGTCATTTCGATTCATTTCCAGTGGGCTTTCTCAGATTCCCTTTTCATCTTAAGTTTTCACGTGTAACTTGCTCATGAAATTTTCAAGTGTCTAAACGTGCGACTGACCTAAACCCCAACTATATACGTACATGCACTTCGAGCGCTCTTGATAACAGAAAGACAGTAAAACGAGTAACAACCATTCGAACTTTATCATTGACAATTATTTTTCCATTATATCCTCTTACTAAATGAAAAGATACGCCGATGATAGCGCTTTGCAATAGTTAGGACTCTGACCAGACGACTCGTAACCCTGTTAAAATCGATTTCTTTCACTGGGCGGTATTAATTTCGGCGGTCATAATGTACCATGATTCCATCACTCCGGTTTGGACAAGTGCCAAAGGTTGTGAAATGAAGGTGTGGCTTTCAGCGGAGGCTCATACAAACGAACTAAATTTTACTCAAAGGAATGTTACTACGCCGATATTGAAAAAAAAAAGAAATTTCATCACAAAATCTACTGAACCAATTGTAATTTTAACTTTTGAAACTGGGCACTTTTTGAACCATGGAAAAATGCATGCGCAAAAGTACAAGTATTGTGAGGCGCATCTTCAAGGCTGGTCGGAATCTTTCGACATCGACATATCTCTCATAGTTGTGATTATTTCGCTGATGTCAATATGTATTTCATTATTGAACGAAGGCTTTAAATTTAGTTGGTTGCTTTCCAAATATTTCATTTTACAAAGACGCACAAAGAACGAGCCGATCAGTCTTGGAACATAAGAAAAAATCCAATTGGTCGATTTCTGGCGCCACTGACGGTTTCAAATATCCTGGATGTGTTTACGAGCATTATGACGTCATTAGGTCCAATCCTTTTAATCGTACATTGGATGCGTACAAGTTGAACGGGAAGCTTACTTTTTGTTTATCGTGTGGGGTTCTGGTAATGATTTCCAACTTGCTTTGGCCTCTTCTCTAAACACTTTCCATCTCGCTTCTAAAAAGAAGGCCATATTAGCGGAAGTTGACGCGACAATTGCAGCGGTAGGCGAACTCAACTCCGTCGAAGACTTGAGGTGAACGAACCCGAACGCGGATCCATAATGATTGATCGGGATGTCCTCTCGCCTCGTTTGTCGGCCTTGTCGTCACGTCACGGTGTTCCAGCTCGATGACTAAGCCTTGCTCGCCCTGCAGTTAGTTAAACCACACCACGCAGCTCTGCCCGCAATCTGTGCTAATTGTTTGTGCCCGGGCTCTGGAGGCCATGGCCCTCGCATTAGTACCCGTCTGACAAGTTTAGAAATATCATCCACGCGGTAAATGTCTCGAAGATGACTCCAGTAATTAACATTCCAACCCTTAGGACCTTCTCCTCACTTTCTGGTTTTCTCTTGGAGGTTCGATTGACACGGCTCGGCACTGATAATGTCGTGATGATAGTAACTGTCATTTGTCGCATTCATTAATACATCATGTAGTATTCACATTTGTCATCAGAACATGCCATAGATTAAGTCTATGAGATATGGAACAGAAAAGCCATGTACGTTAAAAAATGTACCCGCGGCAGTATTGGACCAAATGAAGACTGTTTAAAGACAAACGTGTGCAAAATTTTGGCAACTATGTTGCGATTTGACTGAAGCTCAGCGCATTGATATTCCTGTAACTGCTTAACATAAAAGTAGCTTTGGTGGTAAGAGTGATCCAATCATACGATATTGTGGACCCTTGGGGTCAGGTTTATTATAATTATGCATATTTGATGTTTGTTCTCGCTGGTGCTATGCAGTATTTTGTCTCAGTACATCTATGAACCTGTAAGTCACACATGAATTACAGCTTTCTAGAAATGAACCGTCAGCTGCTACTAGAATGGATAGATTATGTAATAAGACATTGTTAAGTCCATCTTTGTATGGTCTATCGCTTCTCAAACGCTAACCTTGGGTATAAATTTCAACTGTTCTCAATCCAAACCTGTTTTCTGTCAAAAACCATATTAAGCTGTTTAACTGGTATGCTGATTAATTTTAGTTAGGGATATTAGTACCCTTGGAAACAAAAACAAGACCAAGTTCAAACTCTACTGCATGTACACCTGTATTCAACCCTTTGATTTGATAGTAATCCAATCTTTGTTAGTTTACTCTGGTTTTTCTGGCTACATGTATTTAATTAAATCTTTCTCCAGTCTCTTTGGCTTATTTCCATTTATCATTTTGTTCTGCATTTTTTGTGTGAAATTTCTTCGAGATCTTTTACTTTCTTTATGAGTATAAGTAAAATGTAAGTTGAATCTCAAGCAGCTACTGGTGGTGACTTGCAAGCATGCCACTACATTTATACTAAAAGATTGCATTATTAATAAATATGTTCATATTAATGTAATGGCTCATTGAATGGTGTGTAGTGTGTTGCTGCAGAGATATTCTTTGAGAATTATCTCCAGAATAGAGCTCCGTAGTGTTGTGCTCTGCTAACAGTGAAACAAACCGCCGTGTACCAAATATTAAGATATCACAAAGCTACGAAATATTTTCTTGCTTATGACAGCTATAGTACATTTTATGGAACTGTCTTAAAAGATGGGCACTTTGGGCTGAATGTTTTATGTGATGTGTATTTAGATTGGCTAGCCTACTTCATGTAATAAAACTAATTGCTATGGCATTTTTCAGATTAAAGGTGGCTGATTATGTAGAATGCGTGCGTTTGCTTTTGTCACTTATATTTGTGTCACTATTCTTTGATTGTATATACATGTACATGTACCACCAATTATCAAAGTGATTTCAAATGTATTGTTGAACTATTAGCTATTTATGCATTATGAAAACACACCGATTAAGTAAAGCCATGATCGTTCATCTTGGTTTTGAAAGCTATTTTTGTTTAATAAATACGCGTCATCCCGAGTCGCAGATGCGAGGTCATGTCTGAGGACAAGGAAAGAAACTTCCATTTTGAACATCTCCATAAATATTCATAATAAACACAAACAGAAACAAATTAAAAGCCAAACATACAAACCATGGCAGAGCCAACAATATGTAAACCATCAACTTTCTGAAGTAGTCATCAAGAGTTTATTTTTTAAAATATTACATTATTACATTTATTAATAACTGAAATTCGGGAGCTGACAATATGACAGTTTTGTTCACCTGGCTGTTGTGTGATTACTCTTTTTCGTGTTAAAATCAAATACTGATTTTTCTTTGACTTCTTAAAGAGCCTAACGTAACTCAAAATGGATTGTCTTTGAACTTTCTGCGGCTCTGTTTTGATCTTCATGTCTAATCCTGGCTGAACATTGTCTAGTATTAGGAATCGACATCCTGAATCGGTAATAACTTTAAGATGCGAACCATCATCTCAGGACGTGATGTGTCATCACTTTCATCTGGTACCACCAAACATTTTCCCTGAGGGGAATATCAAGATTGTTGTTAGAAGACCACCCTAATCATGTCTTCAGGCAGTCCAGGCATTGGGACTACATTCTCTTCGGCCATCGAACCTGTAATCGCGTGTTGCGTGTGCGTCGGACTTACCATTTCTTCAAGTCTGCGGAACCATCGGGATCGCTTTGAGGTTTTTTTTTACCCAAGCCACCAAAGTAAGTAGAACGTTGCAGATTTCAGCCTCCCCCCCGCCCGCATGAACAAGTCTGAAAGTTTGTCACTTTTCCTGGCAACGGAGGCTTCGTTGGTGAGAAGTGCACTTCGCAGGCCCGTTGTCTGACCAGAGACTGGGGGGGGGGGTGTTGTCAAACCCCAAAGGTGTAACTTTTGGCACCGTGAACACACACAACTTTGCACGCCATCATACCCTACATTATGTGGACTTCTTTTGTGCAGAGGTCCACACTACGTATTTCACGCCTGCACATATTTTTATACAAAGGCTTTTCATAATATGCTTTGGAACACAACATCGAACAAGTTCCACGTTTGTCGCCAACCAAAGGATGCATAGACTTGTATATACCCCTACTTCAGTTTCAATATTCACGCGTCGTGTCGTAAATTGGCCTGGTAAATGACTGTTCGTCACCCAGCACCCTGAATCAGACGCTGGGTGACCGTGACGAGTGAATAATATGAACATTATTATTAAACAAATTTCAGAAAATCCAACAAACAAATTTCAGAAGTTCTAAGAGAGTGATAAATTCTAGTAAATAATGATTACCTCCACACGAACGTTAGAAGCGAAAATTCGAAGTGCCCAGCGTTAGAGTCCGTCCCCCGTAGGGTTCGAAATCTTCAATTGTAACGGGAAGGAACGTGCGAACGATTGTTATCATTGAACTTTAACTTTCTCAAATCCTTTAAATTACTTATTGTGGCGGGCTGGATTAGTGTCCTTGCTGGGCCATGCAGAAGTTTTTTTTTACAGTAACAAAAAGACCAGCGAAATAATAAACAACATGGAGTACACAACCGTAAAAGACAAAAACGAACAGGTCTAAGACACACTTTGTGAGGTGTGAACGGTACTTGCAGTGCATTTACAAGTCTTTCTGGACTGGTTTCCTTCTTTTCCAACACCCTGAGTGGAGCGAACATAAACGGCAACCAACAAAAATAGGACTGCCTTGTCCCCACACCCGGAAGGTGCGCCACTTGTAAGCGTGGCTGGCCGGCCGGCGGCGGCAGCCGGCAGGCTAGGCTGCGCTGAGGCACGGCGCGGCATTTAGGCCTAGTGACTGATTTCATTCTTAAAATGTTGCCGTATAAGCTGCCCAGAGTGAAAGCCGCAGAGATACTGTTAGCATGAGAACCAATCGATAAGCCCTGGCTTATATTCCGAAAATTATTGTATATTAAAATTATATATTTATTTAAAAAAACAAAGACCACTAACGAGCAGAAATCTTCCTGCTTCGCTGGTTCACGAATGGCAATGAAATGCAAGCGCTGTGCTCGCGTCGCACGTAACTATATGTCCATGCCCCATNGGGGGGAGACAAGTTCGTTACAAGTGCGCATGCGCACTTCATTTTCAAGCACACACCAACGGTTTTTCGTGCGAGCAGACGAAGCTATTGGCGCTATTCTGAGACAAAAACCCAGCGCCGAATTTAAGATTCACCTTTGATGCATTGATATTTATTTTGAATCCGCCGAATAAACTTTGTAATAATTGGGTCATTCTGAATCGTCCCAAAATCATACTGTTCCAACGGTGCACGAAAATTCAAAGCCATTTAGTATCCATTTTATTACCAAAATAGTAAATCCGACACTAAAATGATGATTTTTTTTGTTAGATTGTATTGATTTTGTCAGTTCTGAAACCATTTCATAACGTAGAATCGTTAAATTAGAGATATTTCTTGTTCATAAATCGGTTGCAACGGATGCTGACCATGTGTGATTCCCCGACGTCAAAGTCGTCCATATGTGCCTGGTTCGGCACATATGTGCATAATGATCATGCGTGCACATGTAAACACGCATACTCCACGACTGCACTTGATCCTTGACTCGCCGCTGCAAGAATGTTCTTCAAAGTCTGCCCTTGCAAGAGTATGGTGTAAGGGTATCCTTATTGTCATAAGTTCGACAAATCTCTAACTTATCAATGACTAATCAATGACTCCAAGAATTAAATTTTGTTGAGTCATAAAATAATTTTAGATTAGATATGTGGCAGATTTTTCCATTACAAATGTCTGGATTCTCGCGATTTGGCGCAAAAATTTGGTTCAAATTCAGACTTATGTTACAAAATATTCTATCCGGCGGATTCCCCATTTTTACGTGCAGTCGACAGTCTTCTACTTAATATGACTCTGGTTTGTAACCCAAAAACTTATTTTTAATAGATATTGATCAAACTTGGCAACACGCATTTTTTTCTTTTTTTCCTTGCAGGTCCATAGGTGTTAAAATGTGCCATTGAGTGCTTGTTTGCTTCTTCTTGGAATTCCATCAGTATTTAAACAGTTTCATCTGGCATTAATGCTTAGAAACCTATGAATTTAATGAAAAAATTATAAAAGTTGAATGTTGAAGTTTTGAGTTATATTGTGTACTTATCCTGTAGTACATACAGTACATCTGTACTGAACACCCCAGCCATGTACATGTATATATGGGTATAGACAGTGTTCAGACACATACAAATGTACATGTACAGCATGAGGAGAAAATGTAAGGGG